GAGAAGAATATGTCTTGATTGAGGGAGCAGGGGGGCAGGCGCAGTGTTGTTGAAGGTAGGCTGCCTAGAGTGTATAACATTTGTATTAGCCTAAGAATAATCAAGTTTGAACGTACAAGGGGAGATTTCAAAGAAAAATCCAGGTGACCAATGGATGTGAACAAATATACCGAGGCACAAAAACATAAAGCATTTACCAGTAACAGCTAAACAGTTTACATGCAGGCAAATAGTTAAAAGGGATTGGGAGGAGCTCATTGGGTAGTGCTAGATTAATGATGCCAGGATAAAAAGCCAGAATTTATTTCCTTAACATAGATTTTTGAACATCTGGTTAACATTTTTAGAGGAGCATTGATTTAGAGAAATTATTCTGGCTATGATTTTTAGGACAAATTTCAGAAGCAGAAGAATCTAGAGGCATCCAGATCCTCTCAGCATCTAAGCATCTTAGCATCTAAGAGGACCCCATTATTAGCAAACATAGGAGATAAAAGTAGTCACTATGATAACAGAGATGAGTCAAAAATACTTCAGAAGAAAAAGAAGTCTTTTGGAAATAATTGAATTAGGCGCAAAAAAAAATGTGGTTTTTCATTTTATCTTAAGAGACTGGAAAGAAATATAAGACATTAAAAGAGAAGCAGATGAGTAGCAAATTTTCAAGTCTATGATATATACACTGAACAGAGTCAATGGAGTTTTTTGAAGGAATCATCTAGTGAGTAACTGCAAAAGCACAACTTATGCAGAGGAAACAAGTATGAAAACACAGATTAAGAGTGAACCACAGAGGTGACAGTGAAAGGTATGTGATGAATGATCTGATCTTACCCAGACAAAGAGCACAGAAAGAGAAAAGTGCTTCTGAGAGATCCTTGGGAGGACTACATTTCAGATGAGAGAAGAAATTATTAAATGCATATATCCACAAAATAATATTATGATGTATATTGGACCCACCTGATACATATGAAATTAAGAGCTTGTCCAAAGTCTGATAGGAAGGAAAAAGGAGAGGAAGGGGGTATCAATAAGAATCACAAAATTAACAGTCAAAATAGTAGAAGGGAAACCTCTACAGAACAATGCAATGGGAACTAGAAATGAAAATAATTTCAAGCAGGAAGGCTGATGAATTGTACTGTATACTTTCAGAGGAAAAAGTTAAAGACAGGTTATTGGAGTTTAGAATCAACGGGGACCTTTCAGAAAGAAGTTATTGTAGAGGTGGGAGCAGGATCTAGCTTCTAGTTAGAAGGTCAAAAGTTGTTAAGGGAGTATGTAGAAATTATCCTTTCAAGAAGGTTACCAGTGAAGGGAATAGAAAATATATGTCCCTAGTTTAAAAGAGTAGTAAGGTGGAATGAAAATGTTTTTTGGTTTAGGATAGAACTTAATTCAGCAGGCTTGTAAGCTCAAGGGACCAATCTAGAAATCAAAGGCATAAAACATAAATGTTAATAGTCAATGAGCAAGGGCCTGAAAAAGTAGTCAGGAGAGAGTCTGTTGAGGCCACAAGCATGAATGCTAGCCGACAAGGAGAGGAAAGGAGGTATTCTTTTCCATGAGACAAGAGGAGAGAGGAGGCCATGAGGAAGACACATTTTTAATCACATTGAGCTAGAGATTGAAGGAGTTTAGATTTCATGATTGAAAGAGTTTAGATTTCCTGCATTTCCTTCATCCCCAGGTTGTTGAGAAGAGTCCAAAACTTTTGGAAAAGACTCAGGCCAAGTGTGGTGACTAACACCTGTAATCCCAGCCCTTTGAGAGGCCAAGGTGGGCAGGTCATTTGAGCCCAAGTGTTCAAGAACAGCCTGAGCAACATGGCAAAACCCGGTCTCTACAAAAAATACAAAAAGATAGCTCAGTGTGGTGGTGCATGCCTGTAGTCCCAGCTACTCTGGAGGCTGAGGTTGGAGAATCACCTGAGCCTGGGAAGTCCTGCACCACTCACTCTAGCCTGGGTGTCAGAGTGAGACCCTGTCTCAAAAAAAAAAAAAAAAAAAAAAAAAAACTCAGTTAAAAATAAGACAGGTAAACAAGTAAACATAGATAGCAGGATTGTTAGCAGTTTGTGAATTAAGCAGAGAATCAATAATGTGGACTTGTCCTATAACCAGTTAACCACATCTTATTACTTTTCCAGTGTCTTAATAGCAGAAGTAAATGAAGTGAAAGGTAAATTCACCCAAGCACCAAAATTTAAAAAAAAAAAAAAAAAAAAAAAAAAAAAAGAGAAATAATTGGAAATTGCAGAAAAGCAAGCACAGAGAACCAAGATTCCTAAGCTAGTGTTTTACTGACATGGCAGAGCCTTGGAAATGGGTTGGGAGAAGGGAAGAAGAAATTCCTGAAAGTTGTTATTAATGTGAGACTAGGGATTAACTAAGGAACCATAATCACCGATGAAGGATAAAATGACTTCTTATGAAAACAGGAGGAGTTAAAGAGTAAGAAATTATGCTCTGAGGCAGATTTCAGTCAACATCTTGGATATGAGGTAGTTCCAAATGGTTTTGAAACCTAAAGTGAGGGTATATATAGAGAGAGGAGCCCAAGTTAAGTGAAGGACAGCAAGGATTTTGCTTAAATGATTAACATCAATAACAACAACAAAGATGAATTACCTACCCTGTTGATTATGTGTTGGGAACTGTGTTAAGTGCTTTACTTCTGTTAACTCAGTTCATCTTTCCTACTTACTATGTGTGGTAGGTAGTGTTCACAGTCATTGAGCTGACTATTCCCCTCTTGTTCAATTGATTAAATTGGTTGTTTGGTTTCACATTGTATGGACACAACCTTGAAAAGCAAATAATTTCAGCTAATTTAACCATAATCAAGATTTTTCATTTTCTAGATGCTCTGAACACTTAAGGTTTACATAGGCATATGTAAATATTTTATTAAGCATATTACAGGGCAGTTAACTTAGAACAGAACATGTTACATAACAGTGGCTATGGCTATAGGTATTAAACATTATAAGGCACAATCTCCTATCTGAGAGAGCTAACTGATATTGCAAACCCAAAAATCTGTCCAGGAGTATCTGTCTTCAGAAAATACAAGAGTTTCTTGAATAATTGTAATTTTATCTTATTATTTTTATTATTTTCAATCATAAGTAAAAATTATTTGAGTCATTCTCAATAGTATAAAAATAAACTACTAAGCATAGTTTATTTTTAGCCACTTACACATTTCTCACATATAAGAATGATGACCAACTGTAAGATGAAATTCAATACATGTTATTTAAATTAAAATGTGCCAGTACTTTATCAGTAAGTAGATAAGTAGATAGGCACTCTGAACTGATCATTAAAAATGCATCACTTAACAATATTAAGCATTTGGTTGCATTATGATAGGATAATTGCAGCAATTTTGGTTCCTAATTTTATCAAATAGACTCTCCAGCACTGTAATATCTTATATAGTTATTGCCATAGTGTTCCAAAACCCCCATCAGGTGAGAGTCATGGCTACTTCCTAATTACCATCTGCTTAGCTTTGTTAGTGTTTCTCATTATAACTCAGAAGGTCAATGATACTGTTCATGATAGGAACCCAGCAAGATGAAAAGTAATAAAATAGCTCTGAGACTAAGCAAGGCTCTGCTACTCCAACTGATGGACAGTTAATTACCTGAGCATAAAACAGTGAGAGCACTGGGAGAAATAGAGAACTCTGCAATATGGTAGATGTCCAAGTACAATATTATTTGGTGGTTTTTCAGTGAACAATTCTGTTTAATTAAAACATGAGCATAACCTTTGGCAGAGGAGAATACAATTTTGACAAAAGCAAAATATTTGGTTTTTAACAGCCTCACAGACTACTTAGATGAGCATTCCAAATCTCAGTTTCTATAGCAGTTTCTCACCCTTGGCAGTGCATTAGAATTACATAGAAACTTTACATAATACCACCGTCAGGCCCCCACCCCCAGCCAATTAAATCTAAATCTGTGGAGGGTGGTACTTAAGCATGCCCATCTTTTTTATAGAGGTGCCTCAGGTCCTGCTATTGTGCTTTGAAGGTTGCAAACCACTATATTACAACTAACATTCAAAAGTCATCATTGCCAGTATGGATCTATTTTGTGAACAACTACAATCTTTTTAACGTTTAATTTACACTGCTTATATATAGAAGGACTTGTGTAGCTCACTCATTAACCATTGTCTTTAATTCATCTTTTAAATTAACAATTAACTAATCCTTTAAAAACTTCACATCTGACTTCTCAGCTCTTATAGAAGAATTAAGAACGTGAAACCAAAAGGCATTTATTCCTAGGAAAAAGTTTTAGTAGAATCCCTTCGAAGTGTCCTTTCAAACCTCTGAATAACAGAAATTCCATAAATCCTATAGGATTTATGTTTATCCATACAATTAGATGATTAATTCTATCATTTTAATTAGTAAAGAGAAGAATAAACAATTAGATGTAAAGCCCTTATGTTAAAAAATACCTTTGTAACTATCACTAGATACTTATTTTCTATAAACATTTTATAGAATTTATTTTTTTTTCATTTTTAAATAGGCTATGGATCTCTTCATGGTAAAACCATGTCCACAGGTTTCTAGAGTTTACATAAAAATGATCTATATTGTGTGACCTAAGTTCACAACTGGTAGTTTCATGACCAGCTAACCACTTCAAGGACAGTGCAAAGCGCAGAAACTTCTCTTCATTATGATTTTCAGAGGGAATATAGAAGTCCCAGTCTTCCATGGCTAGTGTCACTTTCATGTATCTATTTGATCACCTGTAAGAAAAACGAAAACTAATTTGAATTTTACAGAAAATGTGAAAAAAATGCTATTTATTAATTTTAAAACTTCTTACACCTTGACTTTATGTTTCTAGTTTGAGATTTTTTTAATATTTAGAATGTCTCAAAAATATGTGCTACAGTCTCATTAAACTCCACACATTGTTTTCAAAAGATATTCTTTTCTTTTTGTTTTTTTTCAACTAGGACCCCTACTATGGCTGGTGGCCTATTTTCTATTGACAGAAACTACTTTGAAGAGATAGGAACTTACGATGCAGGAATGGATATCTGGGGTGGAGAGAATCTTGAAATGTCTTTTAGGGTAATTGCATTTTATTTTATTTTTTGACGCTGAACATACTATGCTGTAGCATGCACATACCAGACCCAGTAATTTACTGTCAAATCATTTTTGCTAAGTGATACAAATTACTGATCAATTGGTCATCTTAATATATATTTAGAAGATTTGACAGAGTCCTATTGCATGCAATATTTACTGTTAAATGGAAAATTATAGGTAATTTTTGTTTTCAAAAATAATGTTTTTATTCACAGTAAAAATACATTAGGACTTTCAATTGCTGAAATAAAGAAGGGTTTTCTTTTTTAATAAAGTGTTACTCTGTAAAATCACTTTGTGTTTTTGAACTGAAACTTGGAAGTATTTATGTAATCTGAATTTGCAACTACTGCCTGAGATTGTTTTCAGAAAACTTTAAGAATGAACTGTGGTCAAAGGAATTTGGATAATTCTGCAAGTAGTATGACCATTTTCACTAATATTATTGTTGGATAAATCAGTTTGAATGAAGCAAATTCATTTAATAAATGGCCTTCCAAGTAAATAAAAATTGAGGAGTAAGTCCTTACAAATATGTTATTAGGAAATGTTTAATAATAATTTAAATAATATTTAAATAATTTTTTATATTCAAAAAATTTAAAAATGATGACATAAGTTTGCTTTCATGCTAAGAAATTGATAAGCACTAACATAGTGGTTTTGTTTTTTCTAATCACTGCTTTTTTTTCTACCTAAAATTCAGTGTAAACTGTGTGTGTTTTTTGTTGTTGTTGTTGTTTTTGTTTTATGAGACAGAGTCTCCATCACCCAGGCAGGAGTGGTACAGTGGCGCAATCAGGACTCACTGCAGCCTAGACCTCCAGGGCTCAGGTGATCCCCCCCTCAGCTGCCCTGGCTGGGACTACAGGTGCGCAACACTACTCCTGGCTAGTTTTTTCTTTCTTTTTTTTTTTTTTTTTTTTCTATTTTTTGTAGAGACAGGGTTTTGCCATGTTGCCCAGCGTGGTCTCAAATTCCTGGGCTCAAGCAATCCACCCACCTCTGGTTCTCAAAGTGTTGGGATTACAGGCGTGAGCCACCACACCCAGCTTCAGTGTAAAATATACAAAACATTCCATCATTTTGCCCAAAATATTTGTACAATAAAATTATAAGAGTTTAGATATATTTATCTATGAAGTTTAAAAATTATGCCTTTTAATTTCTCATTTCAAAAGCAAAGTTTGTTTTTCATTATCATAATATAAATATGTGTGATGTTGTGTAAGAAAATGTTAAAATTTGAGAATGAGTTACCTTGAATTTCTCTACTGTAGAATTCAGTGGATCTTGGATAAATTATTTTAAAATCAGTAAGATGGCCGAGTTATATTACTATTTTGCCTGTAAACTTTCCTTTTAGCCAGATGTCTGAAACAAACCTTAGTTAATGGAATTTTATTATTTTTGCATTTGCCTATATGCTTATATTCTCATGAAACTTGCCAAACCAAACTCAGCACCACACTCAGGAATATCTTCTTGCCTTCAGGTCCATAGACAGTAAATCTTTGCAGAAATTTTGAGGACATTTGAGAACCCAAAATTATTACCTGGTATAGTTCTCACAGTGAAAGAAGTAAGAGGTGACAGAAAAAGAAAAGAAAAGAAAATCAGTATATTCAAAAGTTTAAAAACATTTTGCTTCTATTCTTAGATGTAATAATGAGAAAATTTACTCATTCATTAACCGATATTCTTTGGGTGCTATGCTGGGTTATGTAAGAAATAAAATCAACACAGAAATATTGCTACTATGTAGGATCCTCTTGCTACTTTTTCTCTTGTCTTCCTAAAATTCGAATTCACCTCTTTCCTCCCTACCTGTTAAGCTTGATTTTCTGACAATGGACTCCTTTTACTTTTATCACATATGTCCCAGATTGGAGGGATGCTCTTTATCTAACTGATTGAAAGTAGAATTCAGAAAGAATTTAGTGGAATAATATGATAAACGAGGAGGACCTGATCAGGAAATGTAACAGAGGTATAAATGTATAAAAAGGAAGACTTGAGGATGTGATAGGTGAGGCAGATACTAGGGGTACAGAAGGAATGCAGCTAGGGGCCATAAGAATAATCAAATCCCTCAAAAATGACACAGGAGGGTTTCTGTAATTGATTTTTGGGATTATTAAGAAATAAAATATGTATCAATGACTGTTTTAAAACAATATCAAGTGTTTTAAAATGTATTATCTTTGGTTTCCATATGACTTTAATAGAAACAAAATATGTATTTTGCTTTTTATTAGACTCTTAATTTATGTTTTACTTTCTTCTCTGTGACATGAATATGTTTGCTTAATAGTTTGTGCTGTAGCTGAGGAAGACATTGAATAAGGAAAAATGCTAGAATAGCGCATTAGCAAAATATTGAGACCCCTCATCTCTCTTTAGACTAATTTCATGACTTGATGAAATGAGGATATGTTGAGCATTTATAATCAGAGGGTTTGAATCTAATATCCAGCTCAATCATTACACAACAAATATACATTGAGCAAGTTATACGTTTCCAGGGACTGAGGCTACAAAGATGAATAAAGCATGATGCTTCTTTGCTCTCAAAGAACTACATTCCTGTGACAGAGATGCATAGGTGTTATTGTCAAGAAAATGTGATAATTTCCTGTATAAATTTTTGTGTAAGTTTTTTTTTTTTTGTCTCTGTCGTGTGAGTATAGGTGAACGTAAACTCAACTGTAAAAAGGTGATTACAATAATAGTGAAGTTATTGTGGTTTTGAAGCTGTGGTCTACATAGGTTCTAGTCTAAGTAAAAAATATAGAAATATTTAGGGCTTGTAAAATGTTAAGATTCTGACTGACCCCAAGGGATTTTAAGCCAAACCAAAGGAATACATTGCAAAGATTTATTTGTAACATATCACTTGATCGTTGTACTTAAAGACATTTGAAAATTTTATGAGAGCTGTAGATTTCCTAAGAAAGATGTTTCCAACCTTTTAAAGACAACAGATTTAAATACAGTTTCAAAGGGTTTAAAAATCTCTTGAAACCTTAGGAGAAAGACCCTTGGCATATAATAATAGTGACTATTAGTAATTATACTAGGTAGTGAGTGGAATAGCTAAGGGTTGACCCGCAGCATTCTGACAGCAAGGACTGTGCTGTTAAATACCATACTCTTACCTCCTCATTAGGGTTCATCTCTCCATAACGTAACACACTTAACAGCTGATGGTATTATTAAGAGAAAGAAAGAAGCTAACATGCAAATACAAGCTTCCTCCACAATTCTGAGATGGTTCTCTCATCTATAATCTTATCTTCCTCTTATAGGCTATAGCCTCTAATGGAAGATGATACACATTCAATAGCAGTGAGAATATCAGGTATATCTACCAGAGAACAGCAGGTAGATCTTAATGCTTCTGAAAGCATTAAGCAAATATTTCTCCTTACTGCATTACACAACAATCACTGCAATAACATAAATTCTAACAGCACTGTCTAAACATAAGTGTTAATTAATTATGTTTAGACAGTGTTATGTATGTGCTGGGGATACAGTAATGAACAGAACAGACAAAACTTTGTGCTCTTATGGAACTTATATTTTAGAGAAAGAGACAGACAATAAACAAAATAAGTAAAATTTATTAAAATATCAATTATAAGTGTTAAAGAAAAATATGTAAGGAAGGTAAGATTACATGAAATGTTAGATTTTGGAGGATAGATAGGGGTTGAAATTTTAGACACGAACTGAGAATTGATACTGAAATAAAATAGTGATAAAATGAACCAAGAAAATTATGAATTATCATCAAAAAGTATCCTCTATATTTATTTAATAACCCTGTTTCAGGATAAGTATCAACCAACAAGGACACCAAAAGTCCTTGTCTTTTATAAGCAATATCATGGGGGGCAGCATTCCCAAGAGTACAGATCATTTTGCCCATTCTAAAATGAAGAAAACTGCTACTGTCCAATCAACGGAGAGCATGGGAAAAAATAAATAAAAGAGCTTGATGACAGCAAAGGAAACAGAAATCTGCCTCACTGCCATGAATGATTACAAGTATGGACTAGGATTCATATAGCCTGCATTCAACACCCAGCTCTGGCACTTACCATCTGTGTAAGCTTAGGTAAGATAGCACATCTTCTAAGCTTTAGTGTGTCCATCTCTAAGACAGGAGAGATTACAGCACTTTCCTCATATTTTTAGGGAAAGATTAAATGAGACTATATATATAGTGCTGAGTACTCCACTCAACCCATAAAGTGTGTCATAAATGGCAGCTGTTGTGGTGATTGTTATAAGCTGTGCAACTCAGGGCAAGTCATAACATTCCTGGGAATCACCTAAAAACAATCTTACCTTTAATAATTAGGCTTTGATCATGGTTAATCACAAGAGAGAATGTACATAGAAAGTCATTTAAACTCAGAAATGCAATATGCATAAAAGTATAATTATACTAAGTGCTAGTTGAGATGTACTTCTAAGGCTCCCCTGCTCAAAAAAAATATATTAAATTTTTAAAAAGAAAAGAAAAAACACACACAAAAAATACTTTTTTGTATTTTGTGTATGCTTCCACAACATCTTTGGAGTTAATTACTGACATCTAATAATCTAGGGTGGAAAACATTTTTCTACACTCATAAATCAGTTGGAATGAAAAAGTTGTTGAGTTAATTTTTAAAAGTATGTATCATCTAGACTTGGAGTAACAAGTACTAGAGTTTCCATTCTCCCCATCATTCACCTGAATAAATTAAAAAATGGACAAAAATACATAAAATAACACTTTCAAGACATTGAACAGCAGGTCACCCTGAGAGATGGGAAACAAACAAGGAAAGCCCCACAACTGCCTCAGCTTACTGCGTTGTGAAAGTTTCTGGGCCTTAGTGATTAAAGGGCTAGATCCTAACAGACTCCATGACTTGAGGAGATGAAGCTGAGTATCTGGGGAGACCAAGCCTGCTGGAATTTGG